CAGCAGTTCGCAATAGCAAAAGGGGTGTATTACGTAAAAGCCGGCACTGATAGGATCTGGGTACCGGGCTACACCTTACTACGGGAATTACTGCTACAGGAGGCACATGACGGAGTCACCTCAGGACATTTCGGGGTAGAAAAAATACGGCAGCAGCTGCAGCGATATTATTACTGGCCCAAGATGCTGACCGACGTGCATCGACACGTGGCATCGTGTCCTACCTGCCAGCTCATGAAGTCGTCACGACAGCGACCAGCAGGACAGTTGCAGCCGATACCACCCCCAGAGCGTGCTTGGCAGCAGGTGACGATGTACTTCGTCACGGGGTTACCGACTGGAGCAAGTGGGAACGACGCGATCCTGGTCGTCGTCGATCGGCTGACGAAGATGGCACATTTGCAGCCTGCAAGAAATCAATTGCAGTCGAAGAAACAGCCCGCCTCTTCATCGCCACGGGATACCAGCGGCGATCATCGGCGACCGCGACACGAAATTCACCAGCAACTTCTGGCGGAACCTGTGGCAGCAGTTCGACACGCGACTACAGTTCAGTTCATCGTACCACCCCGAAACTGACGGACAGACAGAATGGACAAACCAGACCACGGAACAGCTAATCCGAGCCACGTGCGATGATCCGACCACGTGGGAACAACAACTGCCACTCATCGAGTTCGCATACAACAACTCGCCATCCGCCACGACCCAACAGTCACCTTTCTACCTGAACTACAGACAAGACCCCACAGTACCCATGACCCCGAATCCCGACAACCCGGTGCCACGCGTGTTAGAATGAACAAGTGTGTTTGAACTAACAATATTGGGAGTACAAGTAGGAAACCCTAGAATGTTGTACCCCCTAAGGCTAAACCCACTATAGCCTACAGAATATAAACATATACAATGTTTGACACACCCCCATAGGCTAAGTGGGAGACAACCAGATGGTCACAAGACCAGTCAGAGCAAAGCAAAGCAAAACAAGCTCAGGGTGGATCTCAAGGATACCACACAAATTCCGAGCACAAGCAAATGGTCACAAGACCAGTTCACATGCAGTTTGATAATATAACAAGAGGTACAGTGATCACAACCTAGCAAGTGTAAGCATGCAGGTATATATATAGAGATCACATTACAGGCAGAGTCAAGAAGTGAGCAAGTGAGGGACAGTAGGCACAAGGCCTAGAACAGTACAGAAACGCTGATGATCACAAGGCTGAAGCGCCTTGGTGAACACATCAGCAGTGTTGGCCCGAGTGGCCACGTAGGTAAGACGAAGCTGACCACGCTGCTGCAGCTCTCGAGCAAGGAAGTAGCGCAGAGCGATGTGCTTCGTTCTGTGCTCCAGTCTGTGCTCCTGACACAAGGCAAGGGCTGCCTTGTTGTCGACGTACAGCACTGGAGGAGAACGAGGCCGCTCTCCCAGGTCGGTCAGCAGGTAGGTGAGCCAGCGTAGCTCCTGGGCAGCCATGGCTGTGGCGTAGATCTCAGCCTCACAACTGGAGCTGAGAACTGAAGACGAGCGTGTAGAACGCCAAGAAACTGAGCCAGAGCCAAGGCTGAAGGTGTAACCCTGAGACGACCGCTGAGTAGCCTGGTCGTCAGCCCAAGAAGCGTCTGAGTGTCCAGTGAGGACAACGTTGCGCCGTCCTCCAAGCACAAGCCCCATGCCCGACGTACTGCACAAGTAGCGCAACACCCTCTTAGCGGCATCCATGTGCTCCTTCCGGTGACGGCCAGGAGCGACATAGCGTGCTAGGATGCTAAGAGGGTATGCAAGGTCAGGTCGAGTGCAGGTCATCAGGTACATGAGGCAGCCCACAAGCTCTGGATACGGGCCACTCGGCTCTACGGACTCATCCGAAGGCAGAGCTGAGAGCGAGTGACCGGTAGGCAGAGGAGTGGGCTGAGGCGAGGAGTACGTGAAGCGGAAGCGCTGAAGGACCTGCTGCACCATGTGTGACTGAGTCAAGGTGATGGTGCGCCGTGCTCTGTCCCGGGTGATCCGCAAGCCAAGATAGCTTGTCAGCTCACCCAGGTCCGTGCACGTGTGTCTCTTCTGCAGCTCCGACTTCACGTGGGCGAGTGCCTCAGTGTCAGCAGTAGCAAAGACCAAGTCGTCTACGTACACGAGAACGTAGAACGGCGGCAGAGTGGTGTCGGTGCGTAGAAACAGCGACGGGTCAGCAGTAGAAGGAGCAAACCCAAGAGCAGCAAGAGTAGTCCTCAGTGTGTCGTGCCACTCACGGGGTGCCTGGCGGAGACCGTAGACTGGCCGCCGGAGGCTCCACTGGGTACCAGGAGGGAACGACCCAGTGAAGCCAGGTGGGCGGCGCAGACAGATCTCCTCGTGCAGGGTGCCCTGTTGGAACGCAGTGCTGAAGTCAAGGCAGTGGAGCTCGTAGTCACGCTGAGCAGCGACGTGCAGCAGAACCCGAAGAGTGGTCATCTTCGGGGTCGGGGAGAAGGTCTGGAAGAAGTCAACTCCCTCTCGCTGACTGAAGCCTCGTGCAACGTAACGCGCCTTGAAGACAGGCGGAGAACCCGGCGGCCGCTTCACCCTGAAAATCCACATGCCACTGACGATGTTCGCCCCAGGTGGGAGAACCTCGTCGACGTAGGTGCCTGTGGATTTCCAAGAAGCCATCTCTGCGTCCATGGCTGTCTGCCACTGAGAGGAGTAGAGACCCTCCATCGCCTCTGCGTAGGAGCGTGGGGTCGGGATGTCTGGTGCATCCGGGTCTCCCTCAGGGGCAATCAGCATGGACACGAGATGAGGCAAAGCAGCGGCAAAGCACTCAAACTCCTCCTGTCTGTCCTCAAGGACGTCCGTGCCAAGAGCACACTCACCCCCGACGGACGGAGGACAGACAGACTCAGACTCAGCAACAAGGCTAGCGGCGTAGTCTAGACGACAGGCGGCAGCAAAGTCAACAAGCTCAGCGACTAGAGCAGACGCAGCAGAGGACTCAAAGGAAGGGTCAGTGACAACAGTGGCAAGGAGACGCGCGACAGTAGGACTGGCAGCACGAGTAAGGTCTGACGGCGGGTCAGCAACGTCAGGAAGAGAGGACGCAGGAGGAGACGGCAGAGGGACACGCTGTGGGGCAGAACGAAGGGCGGGGCGCGCGAGGGCGCACTAGCAGAAAAAAAAAAAGGGCGCACGAGGGCGCACGAGCAGAGAAAGGCGCACGAGGGCGCACGTAAGGTAGGGCGCACGAGGGCGCTTCTAGCGGAATAGTGGGCCCGTAGTAGAAAGCGGTCCTAGGTGGCAACCTAGGCTCGTGATACCATGTTAGAATGAACAAGTGTGTTTGAACTAACAAGATTGGGAGTACAAGTAGGAAACCCTAGAATGTTGTACCCCCTAAGGCTAAACCCACTATAGCCTACAGAATATAAACATATACAATGTTTGACAACGCGCGCAACAATTCGCATAAATATTACAGGCAGGACGGACCCGAGCAGCAGAAGCAAAAAAGAAATCAAACTTCATCGCTAAGCGCAACGCCGACCGCCACCACCGCCCCGTTACTTACCAACCCGACGACCTGGTATTACTCGACACTCAAAACCTACGCCTACCCATCACTCCGAAACTCCGCCCCCAATATTGCGGGCCATTTCGCATCAGCCACATGATCACCCCCGTCACCGCCCACCTCCTCCTCCCTGCTGACTGGTACGTCAGCCCGTCGTTCCACGTCAGCCTGCTTCGCCCGTATGTCCCATCCACCAGCCAACTGCCTCGCAATCGCCCCGCCAGCATGACACGACCGCCGACAGAGCAAAGCATCACGCCTGAAAAAATACGGAGCCACCGAGTTCGTGACCCACGGGGAACCCTCAGGATCGAATTTCTGATCCGCTGGAAAGACTGCACGCCCACCGAAGACAACTGGGTCCCCCTGGATATAATGGAGAACCACCCTGTCCTCACCGAGTACCTGCGCAGCCAAAACTTTCAAGATGTACATGCGCTCTCGTAAGGAGGGCCTCCTTAGGGAGGGGGGTAGTGTAAGGAATATTCCTTTTCCTTACTTCGCGCCCCTGCTTACCGCGTACATGACCATTCCCGCCACCGGCACCCAACAGTGAAACGTTACCCGCTCGCGACACTCGCCTCGACCACGACTCCCGCCACTGTTCACGATGCCACCCAACCTCACAGTTCGGTTGGTAACCCGCGCTCCGGACCTCCGCCTCGACATTTCCCAACCTCGGCGTTAGGCCCGTAGCGCACCCCAATTTCTCGCGTTACCGTTACCACGCTAGCTTCGCTATATATTCTTCGCTCATGCCTTCGCTCATTGTATTGTATAGTAACGTTCACGCTACCTTGATTTCCTTATGTGTACCTTCTGTACACTGTTTGCAATAACGAAGAGTGGTTCAAACCACTCGAGCGTCATGCCGAGACATTGCTGACGCAAGATCCGCCATGTCGGATGCATCTGTAAACATCTACCGATTAACGTGTGCATTAATCACCCCCCAAGTCAGAAAGTTCACCAACTTCCTTCCGGTTATTGAAAATTTGGCAGTTTTGTGGCAAGGTGCACGCCGCGTGGCAAGTGCTTTTCAAGTACTCGCGGCTCGGCAACCTCAAGGTCAGGCGGATCACTCACCCAATGGCAGCATCCGCAGATTACCAGCCAGGGAAGACCCCACCCACCCCAATGAAGCCACCCTTGACACCCTTCACCTGCATTACCGTTGCGGCAATTCCTCCCACTGCCCCAGTTCCCACTCCACTGCTGCAGCCCTTAGCCTGACGAGGGTTCGTTACGTATCCGCCATCTCCGCTCCATGGCGTCCCAGAAGCTTCCCGTACAGGTACGACGCGGAAGTTGGGGTTTCGACCTGGTCCTTCGACATTCTGAATTCATCAAAATGCCTGATCAGTCACGAATGTGGATTGTTGGCTGTGGCGGAATCTGCATGTATTCAACCCTAATGGAAGGTTCGGTGTGGTTTCCACAAAGCCGATGCCGGGGACCAGCTGGATTGACGCACTAGTTGCTGCGGATTGCCGACTTGAGGTGCAATTTCAAAGCCTACTAGCGGTGCATGTCGATGCTGCTAGCCGGCAGCCAGGCGAGCTCTTATCGTGCTTTACTTCTCCGCGCATCCAATCGCCCGCACCCAGTCAATGTAACAATGTTCTTTTTATCATCCTAATTTCGCGTTTCGATCATGTGCACGAATCCCGCGTGTTCCATCGTTCATTGCGGCCCCCCTCCGCGTGCGACGGATCTGCACAGCGAGCCAGACGATTCTATCAGTGGACGACATCCTGCAGCTCATCGGCGACTGATGCGACGACGTCATTGGGCAGGTGCGCACAGCGAGCATGTGAATTATTGCTAGCAGGTGCCTGCCGATATTGACAAGGTGCCAATAGCAGCATCTGTTCTCCGTGGTTTAGACCGTTCGTCCTCTCCCTCCCGTTTCCTCTCAACATCCCAACGCCCCAAACCAAACCCTCGCTCCCCCTTCTCTCCTCGTCCCCGTCCCCCCCACGCCCCCATCGTGTTCCGCCAGCTGACGGAGGAGTGGGGCGAGCGGCTGTTCGCAGCGCTGGCGCGTGCGGGCGGGCGGGAGTACAGCAACATGGCGGTGGGGTACAACAACGTCGACGTGGACGCCGCCACGCGCCACGTCATCAGCGTCGGCAACACCCCCGTGAGTGTTCCCGCGCCGTCCTCGCCTGGTCATTCCCCTGGCGGCACCCCTCAGTGATGAGCCGCAGCAGCATCACAGCAGAAGACGGAAGTAGGACCAGGGAATGAAGACAACGGAAGTGTAACGGAGGAGCAGAAGGAGTAGTCAATCTGAATGGGAGGGAGGGAGGAAGGTATTGTGGTCATGGACGAGAGCGTGCCTGGCGAGGCGAGGACAATGGAGCCCAGCCCTGCAGAAGTCCGTCTCTCCTCACGCCCCCCTCCCCGCTCTTCTCCTCCCCTTCCCCGCTCATCCCCTCCCCCTTACCCTCCCCTCCCCCTCCCCCTCCCCTCCCCCTCCCCTTCCCCCCCCCCCAGGGCGTGCTGACGGAGACGAAGGCAGAGCTGGCGGCGTCGCTGACCCTGGCGGCGGCGCGGCGGGTGGTGGAGGCGGATTACTTCATGCGCGCGGGGAAGTACGACGGCTGGCTGCCCACCATGTGAGTCGTGCGGAGAGTCACTACACAACGGGAGTGGACTACGGAGGAAGGCACGGGGTTGTGCGGGTGATCGTAGCATTGCACTAGGCGTTCTCACTACTTGTTGTGTTCACAAAGAGATTTGGCAAGAGTTTCACTAAGAAATTGAGAGAACATTAGATTACAATGAGGCATGCAAGTCGATATAGGTAGGATTGCATTGCAACACCTAGCAAGCCCTCTGCAGGGCGAACTATGCCAGCGCAGCAGAAGAGTGGCTTGCCAACGCTACAGCAGAGTAGTCTGCCAGCGTTGCACCGCAGCGGTCTGCCAGCGCAGCAGAGGCATGTGAACTTCTGCGCATGTGCGCACCTACCAAGTAGGTGCAGATAGACGGCCGCGCCGCCAGGCACATTGTGCAGGTGCCAGGTAGAACACGTGTCGACGGTTTCTCCAGCAATGCACCGTCGAGCATGTGATGCCGTTCCGCAGGTCGACTTCGCGAAAACCTCCTGGGCGACATTCGCCTACGCGTCGGATTTCGCAGTCGAGCGACTTGCGTCGACCAGCTCGACGATGCTCCGTCGAACAGCATTCACCTAGACGAGCACGTCGAGCAGAGCCCGTATACGAGCACCTCTCTACGGGCTCGTCGACCAGCGTCCTCTGCGAGCTCGTCGATCGCGTCCTCTGCGAGCTCGTCGACCGCGTCCTCTGCAAGCTTGTCGACCAGCGTCCTCTGCGGACGACTTCTGCGGACTGGTCGAGTGCGAACCTACGGACAGGGTGAGGTCGAACTCTGCGGGCAGGTCGACGTCGAACTCTGCGCGCAGTCTACGTCGACTTCTGCGCGCCCTCGACTGCGAATTCTGCTTCGGCCAAGCGAGGGCGGGTAATTTCCCGTCAACACTCCCCTGCCGCGCTCGCGCTTGGGCACCCCACACACCCAGAACCCAGAACCCAAGGGATAGAATACAAGGAGAAACTCCATCTGCGTGCACCCAGCACATAGCACGCATTTCACCGCACCAGCCGTGCAGAAGGGCACGGCACCTACTGCTGCACCTCGTCATCGCCGTCGCCGATGTCGGCCAGACGCACTTGGCCGATTGCGACGGAGCACCGGTTGAATGCCGGAAAATGCAGCGCCTTCGTCAGAAGGTCGGCCGGCTGCTCGGTGGTCGAGATTTACTGCGGAGCGATCTTCCCGCGCTTCACCATATGCTGCAGCCAGGCATAGCGTCGCTCCATGTGCTTGAGGTTGGCCTTGAGCCCGAAGCCCTCTGCGACCGTGATGGCCGACTGGTTGTCCACATGCAGCACGGTCGGCTTTCCAGCTGGAACTCTGCGAGGAGGAAGCGAAGACGACGTGCCTCCTTGCCAGCTTCCGTGGCCGCGACGTACTCAGACTCGGTCGACGAGAGTGTCGCGTGTTTGATGCGCTGGCTCGACCAGGAGACTGCGGCCCCTCCGAAGACGAACACGTAGCCGCCCGTGCTCGTCCGATTCTGCTTGTCGCCTGTGTCGTCGGCGTCCGCATAGCCGACCAGACACAGCGACCCTGGTCCACTGCCGAACTCCAGAGTGGCGTCACGGGTGTCTGCGAGGTAGTGCAGGCAACGGTCGACCTCGCGCCAGTGGTTGTCGCTCCGCACTCTCAGGCCGCTCCCCAGCTTGCTGCACGCGAAGGCAATGTCCGGCCTCGTCGTCGTCGCCGCGAACTGCATCGAGCCGACCTTCTGCCGATACTCCTCCTCTTCGCGCGACTGCGCGTCCTCGTTGCGAATGTCAGCTCTGCGTAAGCGTCGACGGAGACCGGCGTCTTCGGCACGCGCCCGGTCTGCTCCTTGTCGATGAAACGCCGACGCAACTTGTCGACGTAGACTTGCTGGTCAAGCCACAGCTTCCTCGCCGCCCTGTCGCGCACGATTTCCAGCCCGAGATACTTCTTGATTGGCTTGATCTCGCGCAGCTCGAAGGCGTCCTCCAGTAGCTCCTTCAGCTCCTTCAGCATTGCGAGGCTGCTGCTGGCAGCGAGTAGGTCGTCGACGTAGACGAGCACCCAGCACGTCAATCCGTCGTCGCCGACCTTGAAGTAGAGGGCCTCGTCGACCTGGCTTTTCTTCCAGTCGGCACCAGTCAGCACATCGTCGAGCGCCTTGTACCATAGCAACGGCGACTGCTTCAGCCCGTAGAGGCTCTTCAGCAGCTTGCACACTCGGCCGGTCCCGTCGTTGTAGTAGTCCGGCTGGTACATGTAGAGCACGCGGTCGAGCTTGCTCTGCAGGAACGCGTTCTTCATGTCGAGCTGCATCAGGTGCAGGTCAAGGACTGCTACGATGCTTAGGAAGATCCGCAGAGTCACGTAGCTCCCCACCAGCGCATACGTCTCGTCGTATTCTGCGCCGTAGACCTGCGTGACGCCTTTAACGACCAAACGCGCTTTTTCGCGGACGACCGTGTCGTCGACGTGGTACTTCGTCATGAGCACCCAGCGGTTCTTCATGATGTTGACACCGCGCGGACGCTCGACCAGCTCCCACGTCCCGTTAGCGATGAGGCTCCTAATCTCCTCGTCCATGGCGGCCTTTACCGCCTTGCCCTTCCAGCTCGCCAACGCCTCCTTCACCGTCATCGTCGCGATGTCCCAGCGGTGTTCCGGATCGGCGTGCATGTCGGGGTCGAGCTCTGGCAGGTCGACGTCGGCCTCTGCGTCGTCAAGCAGCGTGCTGTAGGAGGTCGACGGCAGACAGGCATGGTAGCTCAGCTTCTCTGCGGGCTTACCGAGGTTGGGGCGAGAAGAACGCCTCGGCTTCACTTCTTCGACCGGGAATTCCACCACGTCACTATCGTCGGACTGCTCCCCTGCCGACAGCCCCCCTTCCTCGTCCAAGGACTTCTACGACGTCACTCGACGCGTCATCGTCGAGCTGGTCCTCTGCCTTCGGCTCCTCTACCAACTTCGCCTCTGCCGACTCCTCTGCCGACTTCTCCTCTGCCGTTGGCTCCTCTGCCGATTTCGCCTCTGCCGACTCCTCTGCCCGGCGCTCCCCTGTCGTCCGCAGCTTCTGCACTTGGCCGCCGAGATGCATCTCGTCACGTTGGCCGTCGGCGATGCCACTGGCCGGCGCCGAAGGCGACGCAGCAATGCTCCCCTCATCGCTGGTGGCCGATGGCGACGCCGTCTTTGGCAGATCAGCGGCAAGGGGCAGAGGGGAGGTAGAAGTGGGAGCAGAGGGCGGAGAGACGTCGTCGACGTCGTCGTCTTTGACGGCAAGCAAAGGGGTCGTCGTCCACGAGGGATCCGTCGTCGCGACAGCAGGTTTCCGCGTCGAAATTGGGCCGTGCTCTGCCTTCCACACCTCCAGCGACATGGTCTCATAGAAGATGGCCTCGACGGTCGTGACCAATTTGTTGTCGGTGAGGTCGAGCACCTCCCAGCCCTTGCTCTCCGGTGACACACCAAGATGAAGTCCCCACCGGGCCTTCGGCGCCAGCTTCCCGCCGCGCTGTTGCTCGGGGATCATGAGCTGCACCATGCAGCCCCACATGCGCGCCAGCGTTAGGTCCAGTTTCTTCTCAAACAGCAGCTCATGCGGCGTCGTTCCGAAGGCAAAGATGCCCGTTCGAGGCAGTTGCGCACCCAAACGGCCTGGTGCAGAGCAAGGTGCCACCATTGGTGCTTCACGCCCATGTGAAGCAGCATCGTTCGCACGGTCTCGACGACCGTACGCATCTCCCGCTCCGCCATTCCGTTCTGCTGCGGAGTATAGGGGCACGTCAGGTTGTGGAGAATGCCCTTGTCCTCGACGAGGTCGGTGAAGGCTCGACCGAGGAACTCCCCTCCGCGGTCAGAACGCAGCATTTTGACCGTCTTCGACGTCTGACGCTCCACCAGTTTCAGCCACTTTTTGAAGACGACCAGCGCGTCGCTCTTCTTCGCGATCGGCCAGACCCACACGTAGCGAGTCTTCCTGTCCTTCAGCAGCAGAAACTAGAGGCTGCCGTCGTTGGCGGCCACTCGAAACGGCCCGCAGAGGTCGATGTGCACCACGGCGAGCGCATTCTCGGCGTCCGATCCTTGCTCGGGGAAGGTGTGCCGCGCCAGCTTGCCTCCGACGCAGGAGGCACACGGCAGATCCGCTGCGGTCGACTGCTTGATGTCTAGACCGACGGCGACCTCATGCTTCGCCGAGTCTTGATTGTGTCGACGCCGACGTGCACGAGCCTTGCGTGCCGCATGTCCGGCGTAGACTTCGTCGCCGAGGCGATCGTCCGAAGAGCCACCACTTCTGCCGAGGCCGACCTCGAGTTCTGCGAGCAAGGTCGAAGGTCGGTGCAGAGGACCCGGCCGGTATACTTCGCCCGACCAAGGACGTCCCCCGCCGCCGAGACGAGCAGCATCTCGTCGCCGACATCTCGCAGCTTCACGCCGTTGTCCTTCAGCTGGCCCGCAGAAAGGAGGTTCGCCTGCACGCCCGGCACGTAGAGTACGTCGGGAACGAGAATCTGCTTCCCAGTCTCCCCGCGCAGAGCGACGGTGCCACGGCCTTCGACGTTCTGCAACGCCCCGTTGAAGCCGCGCACATGCTTGACATCGCCTCCATGCTTCATCTCGACGAACGCCTCCTTCGTCCCCATCAGATGGTGGGAACAACCGCTGTCGAGAAGCACCACCGTCGGGTTCGCTTGCACGGCGGCCGCGACTGCCTTGAAGTCCTCGCCGGCCTCCGGCGCCAGGGAAACGGTCGACTCTATGACGTCGACCATCGAGCACGACGTCTCCCCGTCGCCTCGACCTTTTCCGGCAGAGGAGTTGGCGTCCTTCGTCGACGGCGTCGACTTCGACGTTTGCTTCTCCTTGCGCGGCTTGTTGTCTCGGCGTCGTCGACCGCCGTCGGACTTCCCGCGGCCTCCCTTGTCGTCGTCGTCGCTCTCTTCGCGGTCGGGGCACTCGTAGGAGAGGTGTTCGGGGTCGCCGCAGATCCAACACTCCCGCCGTCGACCACCTCCGCCTCTACCGTTGTCCCGTGCCGACTTCTACCTGTCAGCGTCCTTCGCCGACTTCCCACCACCGCTACCACCTCCGTTCTGCTTTCCGCGTTGCCCCTGCTGACGACTCTGCTTCGTCGGGGCGACGTAGTTCGCATGCGGAAGGAGCTCCGTGGGCCTCTCTACCTCCTGCATCGCCTCATCTCTGATGATGTAGCTGGTGAGGGTGTCCTTGTTGAGCGACTCACGCGTGCCAGGCACCACCATCAGCCGGCGCATAAGGTTGCAGCTGCTCGGCAGCCCCTTGACGACGTGCGTGATGTAGGACGCCGTCGAGTAGTCGACGCCCGCCATCCCGCATGTCGGCAAGAATTCGTCGAGCCCGGTTGTACTAGTCCGTCGCCGACTCCTGCTCGCCCATCCTCAGGTGAGTCAAGCGCTCCTCCAGCTGGCCGATGTAGAGGTCGTCGGTCGCCTGGTACGTCGACAAGATGAACCGCCACGCCTGGTGGCCGGCGTCCAGTCGAAGTCGACACGGCTTCAGAGCGATCTGCACCATCGGCGAGCAGCAGCGCGATATGACCATGAAGGTCAGCAGATGAGCCGCGCGGAATTCTGCCCGCATCTCGACGTCGTCCTCTTCCGGCGTCACCACTTCGCCGTCGGCGAAACACTTCAGCCCTGCAATTTCCAGCTGGGGCTCGATCGACTCCCTCCACGTGATGAGGTCTCGTCGTCCTTGCAGTGGTATAGGCACGGCGATCTTGTCCGGCGAGAATTTAAAATATCCGTAGGCTGGCGCAATTCCGCCCGCCGTCACGTGCGTAGAGGAGCTCTGCGGCACTCCACTTCTCTGCGGGGAGCGACGTCGACCGTCGACGTCGCCGTGCGAGCTGCCTGCTGCCGCCGTTGACCGCTGCACTCGCGCATGTATTCCGCCGACCCTGTCGTCGGCGGCCCTGATCACTCCACTCATCCTCCTCGTGCCCTCGTCTTTGCCGACTTGGTCACCACCGTCGACCTGCTCGTCGACGCCGCCTTCGTTGCGCACAGGTCGGGGCGAGGTAGACGCGTCGTCCGCTGCAGCACGGGGAGGTGGGTGGTCGCGCGCCCACTGCGCGCGAGTGCCTAGGAGTGCCCACTCCAAGGGGACCTCGCCGAACTCGCCAGATGTATGGCGTCTCCTAACATCAGCCTCTCGAGTCTCCAAAGTATCCTCTACGCCCGCTTCAACGACGGGGTCGACCATGGAGACTAAGACGGCTGCTGGCCTACCAACGAATTAGGTAAAGCGCACCTAAGTCGGCTACTCTGAAGGTATCTTTGCGGGGTCGTTCACGCTCACCGCACCATGCGGAGAGTCACTACACAACGGGAGTGGACTACGGAGGAAGGCACGGGGTTGTGCGGGTGATCGTAGCGTTGCACTAGGCGTTCTCACTACTTGCTGTGTTAACAAAGAGATTTGGCAAGAGTTTCACTAAGAAATTGAGAGAACATTAGATTACAATGAGGCATGCAAGTCGATATAGGCAGGTGAACTTCTGCGCATGTGCGCACCTACCAAGTAGGTGCAGATAGACGGTCGCGCCTCCAGGCACATTGCGCAGGTGCCAGGTAGAACACGTGTCGATGGTTTCTCCAGCAATGCACCGTCGAGCACGTGATGCCGTTCCGCAGGTCGACTTCGCGAAAACCTCCTGGGCGACATTCGCCTACACGTCGGATTTCGCTGTCGAGCAACTTGCGTCGACTAGCTCGACGATGCTCCGCCGAACAGCATTCGCCTAGACGAGCACGTCGAGCAGAGCCCGTATACCAGCACCTCTCTACGGGCTCGTCGACCAGCGTCCTCTGCGAGCTCGTCGACCGCGTCCTCTGCGAGCTCGTCGACCAGCGTCCTCTGCGGACGCGTCGACCAGCGTCCTCTGCGGACGCGTCGACCAGCGTCCTCTGTGGACGACTTCTGCAGACTAGTCGAGTGCGAACTCTACGGACAGGTCGAGGTCGAACTCTGCGGGTAGGTCGACGTCGAACTCTGCGCGCAGTCTACATCGACTTCTGCGCGCCCCCGACTGCGAAGTCTGCTTCGCCCAAGCGAGGGCGGGGCCATTTCCCGTCAACAAGTCGCGCGCATGGCGGAAAGGAGCGGGGTGGGATGGTTGGGTTGGCTACCCAAACCATGAGTAGTGAAGTGGAGGGGGTGGTCGGGGTGGTGGATGCGGATTACTTCATGCGCGTGGGGAAGCACGACGACTGCCCACCATGTGAGTCGTGGGAAGGCGGGGGAAGGCTGGTTGCCAACAAAGTCAGCGGTTGTGAGTGGTGACGGCGTTGGTTGGAGATGATGGCAACACTGCTCTATGCTCCTTCTGCATGCCACTTACGCGCATCACTCAATGGGCATTCACACCCACCCCTCCTCTTCTCCCCTTGTCAAGTTCATCAGAAGCCTTCTCAAGAAGATGGCACAGTGCCTGGTTCTTACCCCCCCTCTCATCCCTTTCTCTCCTCCCCCCCCCCCCTCCCCCTCCCACTCCTGCGCCACAGGTTCATAGGCAACCTGCTCAAGGGGCAGACGGTGGGCATCATCGGCGCGGGGCGCATTGCGCGCATGATGGTGCGCTGGAGGAATGGGGGGATGGGGGAATGGGGCGATGGGGAGATGGAGTGATGGGGAGATGGGCGATGGGGGAATGGAGGGATGAGAGTGTGAGGTGATGGTGGGATGGTGGGATGAGGGAACGGGGCGATGTGGGGATGGGGTGGATGAAGGGGTGGTGGGATGGGAAAGCAGTCTTGGGTCGTGACCCTCAACCCTGTACCTTCCTTTCTTTCCGTTTCCCCCTTGGCAGGTGGAGGGCTTTAAGATGAACCTCATATACTACGACCTGTACCAGTCCAAGCGGCTGGAAGAGAGCGTAACTGGTGAGCGGGGAGTCAGTGTGGTAGGCGAGGGGAGAGTGAGAAGCGAGTGGCGAGAGAGGAGGGGCATGTGAGAGGCAAGTGGTGAGAGACGAGGGGCAAGTGAGAGCTGAGGGGAAAAAGGGGGGGAGGATGAACTCGTCTACCACGACCTGTACCAGTCCAGACGGCTGGAAGAGAGTGTAACTGGTGAGGGGGGCGATGGTGGGGAGAGAGGCGAGGGGAGAGTGAGAGGGGTGTGTTGCAGAAACAAGCGGAGATGGGGAGAGGCGTATCACGCAACAGAGGAGCAAGCTACAGAATATGGCTAAAGGCAATTGCGTTATGAGGATCGTCACACCCCAGAAATCTTTCATTGAACACATTTCTCCATTCACCCTCTAAACACCATCAGTTCCGATACAATACCCCCTCTCTCTCACTATACTCACTCTCACCCCCACTTTATCCACCCTTCTCTCCCTCCTTTCCCCATATCCTGCCAGCCTATTCCCGCTTCCTCCAATCACAGGGCGAGCCGCCGGTGACGTGGCGTAGAGCGTCCAGTCCCGAGGAGGTGCTGCAGGTTGCTAACGTGGTAAGCTGCTGACGTGTATGCTGTGTCATGGTGCATGCATGATTTTGTCATGTATCAAGAAGAGCATTGGTTGGGACGACTGGAGTAGCATGTTGAGGCAGGGGTATGTTGCGCACATGCTTTTTATCCGAACCATCCCATCCCTTGCCATCATCCCGACCCATCGCATCCTATCCCAATGCTCCTCTTCCGTTTGACCCTCCAGGTGTCGCTAGACCCTGTACTCGATAAGACCACCTTCCACCTGCTGGACGAGAGCCGTCTCAACATGATGAAGAAGGTACACTACCACGCAACCACTGCTCGCCTGCGTTTTCCATGATAACTCTCACGCAGTAGTCTTGTTTCCCGTAACAGCCTCTCCATGGTGATCAGTAAGCAGTCCCACGTTTCCCTGTTCAGATGATGCCCTGTTGTCCGCCTGCTCCTCATGTCCCACTATGCCTCGTTGCTCCCCCTTTCTATCCTGGTCGTCCTAACCACCCTCTCTGTCACGCTGCTTCTCCCCCCCCCCCCCCCCCCCCCCCTCCCCCCCCAACCCACAGGTCGCCATACTGGTGAACTGCAGCAGGGGCCCCGTGGTGGACGAGGTGGCGCTGGTGCTTCGTGTGTCCCATGCTGCCCCTTGACCACCGTGCAATGTCTCCCCGGGTCACCACGCTCTCTCTTGCACCGCTCCCCCCTCCCCTCCTTTCTCTCAGGACGCCATTATGGTGAACTGCGGCAGGGGGGCGGTGGTGGACGAGGTGGCATTGGTGAAGCACCTCAAGGCCAACCCCGCCTTCAGAGCTGCTCTCGACGTCTTTGAGGTCAGTGCTGCTGCAATAATCCTGGAGCTCAGCTGCACATTGTAGCCCAGGCATACTTACTCTTCACCTCCCCCGGATGGACCTTTGAGACGTCTGAAAGTTCATCCAGGGCTCAACTGTCTGACAGTTCATCTTACGTGTATCGCTCCTCACCCTTTTCAGCCCCTTGAACGTCTGAGCATGGCTTTGCAGCCGTCTGGAACTTTCAACGCCCTGCCCATCCACGGAGTTCACCACTCTTTGCATGCCTCCAACCCCTTCAATCTGCCCTTCCCTCCCTTGCTCCCTGCATGTCCCCCTAGCATCTCATTCGTGCCGTCTCGATCCCTCTCCCAGCCCCCCCCTTTTGAACGTTCTCAGAAGTGGCACCCGGTGCTGGTTAGCATGCACCTCTGCCTCACATCCAGCCACCGATCCCAAATCAAATCCCCCCCATTCCCCTCTCCCTCCCTGTTCCTCTCTTCTCTCCCCACCATCCCTCTCCTTCATCGCATCAGGACGAGCCGCTGATGAAGCCTGGTCTCCCCACGCTCCCCAACGTGGTCGTGGTGCCGCACATTGCCTCTGCCTCGCAATGGACGCGTGCTGGATGCACTGGCAGCTCTCAACGTCGCTGTGAGTGAAACGCCTTCCTTCACTCACATGTATCGCTCATTTAACTCACATACTGCTCTGTGTTGCTTCTTTCACTAAACCAATTTGTTGCTCAATTCACTCACAAAAGCTGCTTCCCCAGGCGAAGCTACAGGGCTACCACCTCCCTTCCCTCCCAAACCACCTCCTCTTTTCCTCCCTCCCGCATCACCTTCCAACCCCCCATTTCCCGCACTCTCATCAAGAGAAGCTACATGGGTATTCCGTGTGGCACAATCTCAACGATGTGCTTCCCTTTCTTGTACAACACCCCTCTTCTCTCCCTCACATGCAACCATCCCTCCCTCCTTCCCCACATCCATGCGCCCCTCCAGTCAAAGCTACAGGGCTACTCCGTGTGGCACAGTCCCAACAACGTGCTGCCCTTCCTCGACCCCGCCCGCCCGCCGCCCGCAGCATGCCCCAACATCGTGAATGCTAAGCAGCTAGGTGCATGCTTGGGGGTGCATAGTGTGTGCTTTTTGTATCCTTATTCATGATCCTTCCACCTCCACCGTTGCTCCTCCCCTCAACCAAACCTCCCCTTTTATGCTGCTCAACTCTCCTCTTCTTTCCCTCTCCCCCGCCTCCCCTCTCCATCTCATCCCCTCTCCCCCTTCACCCCTCTCACCGCATGCATCTCCCCAAGCCTCCCCACAACCACGCCTTCCAAGCTGTGACCGCTCACAGGCCCTCAGGCCCATTGCCTCTCATATGATGTCTTTTTATTAGTTGTAGTTTTAAATTGCATCTAATGTGAAGCTGGCTCAAAATAAGGCTACATATGTACCAGCTGAGTGCAGTGTTCCGTTGCTCAACCAGTTTCTATCAGTGGCCTTCAATTTACCGTAAACCAGCATAGATCACTGAGGTATAGGACCTTGCTTTAGATACGTTATTGGTGAAGGGTGTCGGATTAAGGCCTCTCCTCTCTCCCTCTGCCCCTCTCCTCTCTCCCTCTGCCCCTCTCCTCCCCGTTCTCTTGTCTCCTCTTCTCTGTCCAGCGTCGCCGCCGTACCTCTCCCTCTTCTCCTCCTTTCCTCTGGCTGCTGGTGCTCCTCCTTGCTTACTCTTGTCCTGCTGTCCTCTCTTGTTGGCGGGTTGCTCTCCTCTGCTGCACTGTCCACTTAAAAGAACGCATCCCTACACTACGGAGGGGTGTGCGAACGCCCATGCTAACTCGGCTGACTCTCTCAGCGGAGTCTCTGTACTCACGCTGCTTAGCTTGCTTGAGGTGGCTGTCAAACATATGCATATGTTATATTTGTGGGTAGGCTGTAGTGGGGTAGATAATGTGGGGTATAACCCCTTAGGGTTTCCTCCTTGTACCATCCTCTCGATAGTCAACTCATTCATGCCTAGTTTCTGAGATGGTATCTAGAGCAGTAGGTCTTTAGGACCTAAGATTAGGGCCCACCTGTTACCGCGTTACCTCACCTACGGCCTTGCCTGCCTGCCTGCCTTGCCTGCTGCCCGCGCGCGCCTCGGCTGCACGCGCGCGGCCCCTTTTTTTTTTCCCGCGAGCGCCGCTTAAGCAGCCCGCGCAGCCCGTTTTCGGCCCCGCGCAGCCTGCTTCCGGCCCGCGCGCCGCTTAAGCCGCCCGCGCGCAGCCCGATTAGGCCCCGCGCGCCGCGTCCGCCGCCCGCGCAGCCCGTTTTCGGCCCCGCGCGCCGCGTCAGCCGCCCGCGCGGCCTACTGCTGCACCGTGCGCCACCTTAGAAGCCCGCGTGCGGCCCGCTGCTGCACCGCGCGCCGCTTTAGAGGCCCACGCGCGGCCCACTGCTGCCCTCCGTACTGCCTTAGGAGTCCGTGCGCCGCCACTGCAGCCTTGCACGCAGCCTCTCCTTGCTTGCCTTTTGCCTTGCCGCCTGCGCGCTAGACTTGCCTACACTGCAAGCATGGCGACTCTCAACGTGCTCGCGTTGGATCCGGACGGTCGCCCAGTAGAGTTTACCACCTGGCTTGACGACCTGCAACTGTTCCTTCTGACTGATGCCAAGGACGGTGTTTCCCTGTTCGATTACGTGTCTGGCACTGCCGTTGCTCCTGCTGACACTGCGCCTGCTCTAGACCGCTCCCAGTGGCAGACCCGCGATGCTGCTGCGCGCCTCGCTATTCGCAACCATCTGCCGATCACAGAGCGCGCGCATTTTAGCCAGCACAAGACTGCCAAGGAACTGTACGACGCTGTAGTTGCCCGCTACTCTTCCCCGGCCACTGCAGCCCTCGGTCGACTTATGCTACCCTACCTGTTCCCCGACCTGTCCTCGTTTACCACCGCTGAGGACCTCATCTCTCACCTGCGCGCTAGTGACACTCGCCTTCGTGCCGCCCTTCCAGCCGAGTTCCTCGCAGAGAACCGCCCCCTGATGTACTTTACTCTCTACTTCCTCATCACCCGCCTCCCTGACACTCTTCGCTCAGTCAGGGACCACTTCCTCGCCCTTGACCCCCATTCTCTCACTGTCGACGACCTCGAGAAGCACCTCCTAGCAGCCGAGAAGAACATTCCAGCTGTAGGTGCTGCTCGTGGTACTCCCCGCACTCCCCTCTTTGAGGGGTGCTCCCCCTCCCCTCTTACCCCCTCCTACGCCTCCGCAGCTGCTGCTGTCGACCTCCTTGGTGCTGAGAAGGTCGCTGCTGCTTCCGCTCCGAGTGGGAAGCGCAGCGGCTTTAAGGGAGGCAAGGGTGGCAGGGGTGGCGGACGTGGCGGTGGAGGGGGCGGTGGTGGAGGCGGCGGGGGCGGTGGAGGTAGTGGCGGTGGTCGTGGGGGTGGAGGTAGTGGTGGGGGCGGTGGTGGTGCCGGGAGCAGTGGCGGTGGCGGCGGCGGTGGTGGCGGAGGGGGGAGTGGTGGTGGCGGCGGTGGTGGGGGCTTGGGTGAGGCCGGTGGTGGCCAGGGACAGCAGCAGCAGCAGCAGCAGCCGCAGCAGCGTCAGCGCCAGTCCCCCACTTCCCAGCAGCTTCTTGACTGGTATGCCGGGCGTGGGGCGTCTGGGGGTCCTGGTCGCTGCCCCTATATTATTCGCGCAGGTCCCCGCGCTGGTCGCCAGTGCACCGGCTTTCACACTGTGTACCGCTGCTTCGCTCGGCTTAGTGACGCCTGGCGCGTCAAGTTTCCTGATGCTACTGAGTTCCCCAACTGGGCATACCTGCTTAGGCGTGATGTACCTATCTTTGATCTTGACTATGATGCTATCCTTGCTGCCATGTATGCATTGACTGTTAGTGCTGAGGGTGACTGCTACTTGTGTGTGCCGCCTGACCCCGGTATAGCCCCAGGTATAGCGCCTGCAGCTCTAGGTGCTTGTGAGTCTGCTCCCCCTGGTACTGCGTCCGCACAGGCCTTGCACACCTTTACACTTGACTATGGTGCTTCCCGCTGTTTCTTTCGCGACAGCACCACAGTCACTCCCCTCCCTGCACCTGTCCTTGTCTCACTGGCTGACCCCTCAGGGGGCCCAGTGCTTGCACGGTCTTCCACTGTGCTTCCGTGTCCGGCGGTCCCGTCTGGTGAGCTGTCTGGTCTCCACCTCCCCTCGTTCTCTACGAACTTGGTGAGCAACGCCGTCCTTCAGGATCATTGGGTTGACACCTTTACTCCTGGAGGGCAGCGTGTGGCGATCTGCACGTGCTCTCGGACCGGCCGCCACCTGGCCACGTTCACACGTGCGCGTGGGTCCAGTCTGTACACCCTCACCACTGCGTCGCGCTCCACCCCTTTGTCTCCCCAGCTGTACGCGTCTGCTCAGGTAGCTACCCAGTGTGAGTGTCGTCGCCTGTCGCACGACACTCTCCTGTGGCACCACCGCCTTGGTCACCCCTCCCTGCCTCGCCTTCGTAGCATGCACTCTCGCTTCCTGGTCTCTGGCCTTCCCAGGTCTCTACCTGCCCTCCCTCCCTCGCCTGCGCCGCCCTGCATTCCCTACGTCGAGGGGCGGCAACGCGCCGCTCCTCACTCCTCCTCGTTCCCTCCCACAGAGGCTCCCCTGCAGACTCTCCACCTGGACGTGTGGGGCCCAGCCCGCGTCCGTGGACAGGGCCACGAGCAGTACTTCCTGCTGGTCGTCGACGACTACACGCGTTACACCACGGTCTTCCCCTTGCAGCGCAAGGGGGAGGTCCCTGATGTTTTGATCCCCTGGATCCGCGCTGTTCGTCTCCCGCTCCGCGAGCGGTTCCACTCGGACTTTTCTGTCCTGCGTCTGCACTCTGACAGAGGTGGTGAGTTCTCCTCCGACCTCTTGGCAGCCTTCTGTGCGGAGCACGGCATCCGTCAGACGTTCACGCTTCCGGCCTCTCCGCAGCAGAATGGGGTTGCTGAGCGCCGTATTGGCATGGTCATGGAGGTCGCTCGTACCTCCATGATCCATGCGGCTGCCCCCCATTTTTTGTGGCCGTTTGCGGTCCGGTACGCCGCGCATCAGCTCAACCTCTGGCCCCGTGTCTCCTTGCCGGAGACCTCGTCCACACTGCTGTGGACGGGGAAGGTTGGCGATGCGTCGCGTTTCCGGGTCTGGGGTGCTCGTGCCTTTGTCCGCGATACCACCGCGGACAAGCTCTCCGCTCGCGCCATTCCCTGCGTCTTCCTTGGCTTTGTCCCTGACGCGCCTGGCTGGCAGTTTTACGACCCCGCCTCGCGCCGTGTCTTTCCGTCTCAGGACGTCACCTTTGACGAGTCCGTCCCCTTTTACCGTCTCTTTCCCTACCGCACTGCCCCTCGCCCCCCCCCACCGCTCTTTCTCGCCCCAGGTCCTCCCCAGGCAGACCCCCTCCCCGCGCCAGGTCCTGCTCCTTCAGGTGTTTCTCAGGTAGACCCTCCCTTGCCTGCGCCTGTTGAGGTCACTGGTGACTCAGGTCCTGCTGGGGGTGGTGCTGTCTTTGGGGGTGCTGGACCTGGGGGTGCGGAGCGTGGGGGTGCGGAGCTTGGGGGTGCTGAGCCTGGGGGTGCGGAGTCTGGGGGCGCTGAGCCTGCGCGTGTGGAGACTGGAGG